CGTTGCCGACCCTGAAGAAACCTCTTTACCCCCCTTTTGAAGAACCTATATAAATATATAGAGGAAGAATATATAAATATAAATATATATAATAGAAAGAGTCTGACAAAACTGAGTCGTTTTTTAACAAAAAAAAAAAACAACATAATACCAGAAGGAGACTTTGTACAAAAGTCGATTGCTTGGACACCTCTGTCCCATTCGTGTTTCAACCGTGAAGCATTGTGTTTGCATGGCTATGTTTCGGTTTGAAGGGTGCGATATGACAGTGAATTTACAGGGTACAGAGGAATAACACCTGAGTCCACAGGAATGACAAAGCGTGGGGGAATGTATTCTGTTATGTTTATGGTACTGCTCATGTCTATAGGCGACGGTTACCATATAAAATTAATATTGCATAAAAAAAATATAAAAATCACGTAAAAATACCTATTTAGTCTACTACTATTATAGAATTTACTAGATAAACGTTTAAAAATAGCCGAAATAAAATTAATTCATTTAAAACGTATATCCGTTATCGTTAAAGATTGAAACTTCCATTTCCTTTGCCTTTTCGAGAAACATTATTATTTTTTTCTAGGAAAATTCAACTCTAATTACTAAGGTGTAAGAAGATTCTGAGAGTTAACTCATTTCCTTTCCCATTTTAAACAATTCGAAATGGAACTCTAATTTGAAAGCGTAAAGATTTATATTCGATAACATTTTAAAATGCCGTCTTCCGTTCGCCCTAATAATTTGAACTCTACTAATGAGAACTTAAGATGTCTTTGTGATTGTTTTGTTGTTTCGTTACATTTAAACTTACGGTACGTTTCCTTCGCTTTGATGGTTACGCGCCACGTCCTGTCGTTGGTTGAGAACTTTCGTAATCTGTGGTTTATTATTTTCGCGCCTAAAAAACAAGTCGTCTTTTTACCAGATATAAACTGAAGACAATGGCTGTATAGACTTAGCCCTTTTGCCTTCCCCATATGTAAGGGAAAACAAAAAAAAAACAGAAGCAATAAAAAAATTAACACTCAGGTGTAATTCCTCTGTACCGAGTAAAGTCATGCCATATCCCACCCTTCAAACCGAAACACAGCCATGCAAACACAAGTGTTTCACGGTTGAAACACAAATGGGACAGAGGTGGCCAAGCAATCGACTTTTGTACAAAGTCTCCCTCTGGTACTGATGACAATTGCTGATAAAATGGCCTGTCCCATCCTAAAATATTGGGTGGGACAGGTTATCAATGCGAGAGCGTTATGACCCGCTCATTTACTGACATAGGTTATGTCAATTTATAACTAACAAAATGGGCCCTATGTAGTCTGATTAAACAAACATAGGTACTTGTTCTATCAAATTTGGATATACACACTGACCCGGTAAACTAGTCTCGGCCGCCCGGCAATACCTGTTTTTACAGTTATAGAAATTTTTAATGAATAAAACGCTCGTAAATTATATTGGGCATTCCGAGCCGGCCATTTACTTAATGAAATATACATTTATTTAACATACAAAATGCCGTGTGAAAACGTTCGTGTTGTCAGGCAAATGTTTTTAACTGGTTTCGAGTACGTTTGAGGGGAAAGGGATTGTTAGTAATGGAGACTGAGAATCCCATTGCTAGTAATATACCCAACCGGGTGGAAGGGATTGTTAGTAATGCGGGCTACCAGTCCCATTGCTAGCAATATACCCTGTCAGATCGACCTCCACGCGGTTCCCCCTGGAACCCATCGTGCTGAGTTCCAGGTGTATTCATCACGATGGGCTGACAGACCTGCTTTTTTCATTATTCACCTATCATTCCTCACTGGTGCCCCGCCAGCGTATACCGTTAGCGCAGGCGGGGTTATCACTCCATTCATCATCCATTAAAAAAAATATACCTTAACCAGGTCGACCTCCACGCGGTTCCCCCTGGAAACTGTCATGGTTAATTCCTGATGAATTCACCATGATGGGCTAACTGGCCTGTTTTCATTCTCATCTATCACCCTTCACTGGTGCTCCGCCAGCGTATCCCGTTAGCGCAATCACGTTTTTTTAAAATGTACGATAACAGAGTGGTAACCCCGCACGCACTAACGATATTCGCTGGCGAGGTACCAGGAAGACATGATAGGTGAGGATGAAAAGGCAGGTCAGTTAACCCACCGTCATGAATACAGAGCTAGAACTCATCACGTTGGTTTCCACGTGGAGGTCGACCTGACAGGGTGTATTGCTAGCAAAGGCACTGCAATCACGCTGGTGAGGTACTAGGAAATCATAATAGATAAGGAGATTATATGAATTGGGAAAAGATTGTTTTGTAATGTGTGTACCAACTTTCGTAGTGATTTTTCAAGTCGTTAAGGCGATATAAGGTGACAAACAAACTCACTTTCACATTTATAATATTAATAAGGAATTTGTTAGTTCAATTTAATTTAACGAGAATACTTTAATTTGGATTTACATCATTCTATTTTTTCATTATATATATATACCTTACCTACCTTTCCTATAAAGTGTATATATATATATATATATATATATATATATATATATATATATATATATATATATATATATATATATATATATATATATATATATGTATATATATATATATATATATATATATATATATATATATATATATATATATATGTAATATATATATATATATAAATGTAATGTACGAGTATATATAGGAAAGGTAGGTAAGTGAGTATGACGTGTAGAAGCGAGATAGTATGAGAGATGTGAATAGTTACGAAATAGAACGAGTGAGACAGAGAGACGGACATGTGTGGAAAGGAGATAGGGAGAAAAAGGAAGATGGAGGAAGAGTACTACGACGACGACGCATGTGTAAGACGTTTTTATAAAAATAAATTTAAGAAGTGCTTGGATTATTGTTTTTATTACTCCACCGTGCCACATGTATATACGCAGACGGAGACTTTGTACAAAAGTCGATTGCTTGGGTACCTCTGTCCCATTCGTGTTTCAACCGTGAAGCAGTTGTGTTTGCATGGCTGTGTTTCGGTTTAAAGGGTGGGATATGACGTGAATTTACTGGGTGCAGAGGAATAACACCTGAGCCCTCAGGAATGGCAACGCATGGGGGTATCGTGGGCGAAACAGTATACGAGTACTCTGTTATGTCCACGGTACTGCTCATGTCTATAGGCGACGGTTACCACTTTCCATCAGGTGGACCGTCAGCTTGTTTTCCATTCTAAGTTGTATAAAAAAAACTAAAATATATAGGTATTGCTATATATTATCCAATCCTAATGATTACTAGAATCCCAAATTGCAGCTTTTAGGCGCTGTTCAAGTCTACAGACGACGGTTAAGTACCACTTTCTATCAGGTGGGCCGACAGCTTGATTTCCATTGCAAGTTGTATAGAAAAAAAAAGTTGGTATGAAATTGAATGGTTGAATACAGATTATGTGACACCGAATTATGGTGTATAAAGCGGATGAAAGGAAGACGAGAGACGAGTACTCCCCTAGTTCCACCGACAATCTTGTATATAAGTCAGGTGGCTGTAATAAAAATAACAGGTCAATATGAAGTAACATGTTGGGGGGAAAGGGATTGTCAGTAATGCGGATTATCAGTCCCATTGCTAACAATATACCCTTACAGGTCGTGGGATATCCCACCAATATGGGCGATATCAAAATGGGTGATGTCCTTTTCCCGCCATCAATATGCAGAGGAACCCAATATCTATATATACTTATCTATATATATCGAATCGGTATCCATATTACACATGTCCAGTAATTATATTATCGTAATTATTGTTGTAAGTAGATAATTACTTATACAGTTTCTCATGACTAGTTTTAACTTATCTATCGACCATAGACATTTTTTTTTATTATAGACGAAGCAAAGAAAAGTCTGATCCTGATTGGACAGTTTCTACTAGAGAAATAAAAAGACCGTCTTACATGTATCATAGTATGTTTTGATTTGCATAACCGGCCGAGTTTAATAGGTCTCCCGCGTTGAAGGAATAATACTAATGAACTAGTACATTTACATTGGCGGATTATACAAAGCATATTATGAATTGCTTTATATATGTATTTTTTTTTTAAGTTTTAGTCCTCACAGCTTAGTACCTACTATTTTTTTTTTTGATGGGTGAAAATGCAATGGTAACCCCGCCTACGCTAATGGGATACGCTGGCGGAACACCAGTGGAGGGTGATAGATGAGAATGAAAACAGGCCAGTTAGCCCAACATGATGAATTCATCAGGAATTAACCATGATAGTTTCCAGGGGGAACCACGAAGAGGTCGACCTGGTTGGGTATATTGCTAGCAATGGGATTCTCAGTCTCCATTATTAATAATCCTTTCCCCCCCAAGTACTTACTATTGCTATGTCGAAAGATGACGAAAAATCTATATCCATTTAACAAGAAAAAATGATTAAAATTCTTAAGTAGTAAACAAGTAGCTCAAAAGAGAGAGTTGGAAAAAATATATGATGAATTTAGTCTTTGAATTTAATGCGATCAGAGTCATTTCCGTGTCTGTGTGTGTGTGTGAACTCGACACAAAATTTAAACTAGTAATCTTATTTGTATTTCCTTAGCCCGTATCCGTTTTTTGAAATTCCCCATATTATATACATAGTTTTGTTGAGTTTCCTACGATATAACTACAACCTAAAATGCATTTCTTCCGCGTTTTTTCTCATTGACAGTCACATTTGATGTATCAAAAAAAGAATGTTGTGACATTATTTTTATTAATATTCTCTTTAGATTTGCTACAAGGAAGTGATGACTGGCAACTGTCCAAATTCAAAGTTTTAAAAGAAAAAAAAAACTGTATAATGCATACAATAGAATGCCTAACCTCATTAACAAATGACCAAACAGGTTTCATTAATAAATCCTTAAACACGAACAGAGAAACGCAACTTAACTATAAAAAAAAAATAAAGCACTATAACTACTACACACTGTAAACACACTTTTTAAAAAGTTCACAATTAAAAAAAATGTGGAGACGACACTTTAGAGAAAATTAATGCAACGACATTTTAAGGGTTTTGTTTACATACAAAACGCGTTGGCGGGAAAATCTGACAGTTGGTCCTGTTACTCGCGCGCGCTTTTTCCTGTCATTATATTTTTTTATTTTACTTTTTTTATTACACTTTCGATAGTTTCTACATTTCGATAATCGGCTTTTGTTTACGGCCAGTAATAATATTACTGTAGCGACGCGCACGTAAGCGACTGAGAGACTGGTCCAACGAGAACTCGACGTTTGCAGGTTTCGTGTTACTGAGTTGTAAATAGAAAACTTATTTGCGTTGTGCTGCTGTATAGTGTTCGAACGCTTAACGGGGACACTTATGAGTCACAGGGATGAATAATTTCGACCTTATTTTCTTTAGATTTGCGGGAAAAAGAGCGGTTTCTATTGTGACATTATGGTATTTAAAATGGTGTTGCACAAAAAAAAAATGTTTTTCCATCTTGAAAAACCCAGTTATTTTAATTTTATTTGCATGGGACCAATTTGAAAAAGTATTTATTTATTTATTCTTTATTGGCCATATTAAAAAAAAATTAGTACAAAAAGAGGATTTACGGATAAAAAAAATCATAAGAGACGACTAAGGGAACATAATAGTCGAGGGATGGGAAGCAGCGTCCCTATTAAAACTAATGTTTTAAGGGAATCGTTGCTGGTTTTGGTAATCCATTTATTGTGGTGGTAATATTTGGTAAATCAAAGCCTAACTGCGGTTGCCAACTTATTCGCCAAGCGTGGCATCTATTGCCAAAATTACAATAGTTATGGGGGCGGCCTATGTTCAGCAGTGGACAGTTAACGGCTGAGATGATGGTGATGGATATTATAAATGTGAAAGTGAGTTTGTTTGTTAGCTTTTAGCGCCGTAACTGCTAAATCAACTTTTGTACAAAATCTACCACAGGAAGACTTTGTACAAAAGTAAAGTAAATTCCATTATCTTTCTAAAACTCACGAACGTAACCTTCATTCCAATAATATTCTCCAATTATCTTTCCCCTCTCACCGTACTGGATACGCTTCAAACTCTTTTCTCCTACATTTTTCACGACTCTGGAACGCGCTTCCTGATGCCATTAAGAGACTACCGACTAAACCGTCTTTTAAAAAAAAGCGTTCACGCTCACTTTTTGTCTTTATCCGAGCAATAAGTGCTTTGTATTATTCTCAAATTCGTGTATAATATAGTATATATCATATATGTGTAAGTATATTTGTTATTCATATATATTTATTCGTTTATATATGTAATTTTAGTATGTATGTATATCAATAATTACTAGTACCGCATTCGAGTATTCTGACACTTCCCTACGGTTGACTGGGAGACAATGCTTTTAGCATTAAGTCCGCTATGTACACATATTTGTACTAATGAATAAATAAATAAAAGTCGATTGCTTGGGCACCTCTGTCCTATTCGTGTTTCTACCGTGAAGCAGTTGTGTTTGCATGGCTGTGTTTCGGTTTGAAGGGTGGGATATGGCAGTGAATTTACAGGGTACAGAGGAATAACACCCGAGTCCTCAGGAATGGCAACGCATGGGGGGTATCATGGGCGAAACACTATACTCTGTTATGTACGTGGTACTATTCATGTCTATAGGCAACGGCTATCACTTTTCATTAGGTGAGCCGTCAGCTTGTTTGCCTACCATTCTAAGTTGCATAAAAAAAAACCTTATGAAAATTGTTATACAGAGATTTAATATTTATTAAAATTATTCGTTTATTTAATTTTATTTTTATTATGTTTTGTTGAAACTCTAGATATCCTACAACAGGGAGGAACGGGATTATTAGTAATGGTGCCTAACTGACCCATTGCCAGCTATACACCCTATAAGGTCGACCTCCACGCGGTTCTCCTTAGAAACCATCGTGGTTAGTTCTAGTGATATTCAACACAATGGGCTAACTGACCTACATTTATTGGGTGGAAAGGGATTGTTAGTAATGGAGTCAAATAGCCCCATTACTAGCAAAATACCCTGTTAGGTCGATCTCCACGCGGCTCCCCCTGGAAACCATCTATATATCGTAGCTATTTCTAGTTGAACTCGTCAGGATGGGCTTACTGACCTGCTTTCATCCTCATCAATCATCTATCACTGGTGCCCCGCCAGCGTATGCCGTTAGTGCAGGCGGGGTTACCATTCTATCATTACCCATTAGAACAGCCCTACAATTAGTACTACTCTGTCTCCATATTGTTAAACAACTCATCCATATCATCATCTTTATATTCTGTATCTTCTGGCTTCTCTTCTTTCAACTTCTGACTCTTTCTTCAGCGGAGTAGTGGTAGCAGTTTGTACCAGCAGACTGGACAACTTTGAAGTAAGATATTACTGTAAGGGCCAACTGACCTGCTTTCCTTTTCACCGTTTATGTGTCTCTAGTACCCCGCCAGCGTAAACCGATAGCGCAGGTGGGGTTACCATACCATTTTCACACATCAAAAAAAAAAAAATCACTCAACATTACTCATAAGTTTGTGGCGACTTTGGATATACGACATACATTTTTGACGATAAACCTTTTGGAATCTTTTAATCGTCTTTCATACAACATTGTCCGCAATTTATCAAATAGATAACTAGATAATAAAAGATATTGTTAAGGAAATTACTAATAAATAATACATTATATATATATATATATATAATTAAAAAACAAAGGAAAATTGGCTACCCCAGTAAGGAGTTTTGCTAGTAGTTTCCACGCTTGGCAGGCGGGTCAGCAACCTCGGTCAGGCTTTGATATGATGTTTTAAGAGGGACGCTACAGCTTAACCCTTGATTATACTAGAGGGAGACTTTGTACAAAAGTCGATTGTTTGGGTACCTCTGTCCCATTCGTGTTTCAACAGTGAAGCAGTTGTGTTTGCATGGCTGTGTTTCAGTTTGAAGGGTCGGATATGGCGTGAGTTTACTGGGTACAGAGGAATAACATCTGAGTCCTTAGGAATGGCAATGCATGCGAAACAGTATACTCTGTTATGTCCACGGTACTGCTCATGTCTATAGGCGACGGTTACCACTTTCCATCAGGTGGGCCGTCAGCTTGTTTGCCATTCTAAGTTGTATAAAAAAAAAGTTCCCTTAGTCGCCTCTTACGACACCCACGGGAAAGGAAGTGCTGGCCCTGAATCTACAATAACCTATATTATAAAAAAGCAGGCGATAAGAATTTGGGGGTACAACTTGAAACGCCCAGAGTTGATTGGATTCAGAAAAGTTATTTTTTTTACAACACAGAAGGCAAATTAGCATGCAGCCCACCTGATGCTAAGTGACTACCGCCGCCCATGGTCACCCACAACACCGACAGCATTGCAGGTGTGCTGCCGGTCTTTTAAAAAGGAATATGCTCTTTTCTTGAAGGTTATGTTGTCGTATCGGTTCGGAAATACCGCTGCTGGAAATTGATTCCAAAGAGTGGTTGTACATAGAAAATATTAAATTAAAAAGAAAAAAAAGAGACCAAATTTTTTTAATAGGTGAGAATGGGGTGGCATTCCTGCCTGCGCTATCGGTATACGCTGACGGGACACCTGTAAGGGAAGATAGACAAGGACGAAAGCAGGTCAATTAGTCATTGGTGACAAATTGCAAGAATTAACCACGATGGTTTCCAGGGAGAACTGGAGGTCAACTTGATAGGATATATTGCTAACAATGGGGTTGTTAGACCGCATTACTTACCAATCTCCCTAGTGAGGTACTTTTTTTTTTAATGAGTGAAGATGGCATGGTAACCCCGCTTGCGTTATTGGTATACGCTGGCGGGGCACAAGTGAAGGGTGACAGGTGAGGATGAAGGCAGGTCAGATGGTCCATAGTGACCAATTGAATAAGAATTAACCACTATGGTTTCCAGGAAACTGCGTGGAGGTCGACCAGATAGGATGTAATGGCTAGTGAGGTACTAGGAAATCATAATAGGTAAGGAGATTGTCAATTGGCGTAATTGGACTATCGTAATGAATAAACCACGATGCTTTCTTAGAGGACCACGTGGAGGTCGATTCTGATTGAATATACCCTATATTGCTAGCGATGGGGCCGTCCGTCCCCGTTATCAATAATCTCTTCCCTCGTATCTATTACTGCCTTGTACTTATAGAATTTATTACATGCATTATCACATCATCGGTGTTCCGACTAAACCGTGTGACAAAAAAACCCATTTCCGTGTATACTATAGTATATTTTATATATGTGTAAGTATATTTGTTATTTATATACATATTTATTTGTTTATATATGCAAATTTTAGTATGTATGTATATCAATAATTACTAGTACCGCATTCGTGTATTCTGACACTTCCCTATGGTTGACTGGGAGAGAATGCATTTAACATTAAGTCACGCCATGTACACATAATTATGTACATGTACTAATGAATAAATAAATAAATAAAATATCAATGATAATGCTGGCTGGGACACTATATCTTTTCGCCCATAAAAGCAACTTCCCCAGCGAAACCAATACTTTAAACGGGATTACAATTTCGTCTATTAAAAAGTACAAATGAGCAATTGTGCTTACAGGACAAACAGATTAATCGATAAATACTGTATCGATAAATCACAAATTATCGACGTTATCTTTAAACGTATCGGTAGATAAGAGATAACATAGAATGTTAGTTACATTTTAGTCCTATTAGTGACATAGCCGCGTAGTCACTGAGCAAGACACCATTTCGATTATTCTATATTTAAATATTATTCCAAAATGGCGGGCGTTCAGGTACTTTTTTTAAATTTATTTTTCGTATTCACGTCGTAACAATTTCTCTGTATTGTTTTCTGTGTTTGTATGGCTGTTCTGTTTGAAGGGTGGGATAAGGCAGTGAAATTGCAATGTATGGAGACATAACACCATAGTCTTGGGGGGGAAAGGGATTGTTAGTAATAGAGACTGAGAATCCCATTGCTAGCAATATGGGTATATTGCTAGCAATGGGATACCAGGTCGACCTCCTCGCTGTTCCCCCTGGAAACTATCATGGTTTATTCCTGATGAGTTCATCATGATGGGCTAACTGGCCTGTTTTCATTCTCATCTATCACCCTTCACTGGTGCTCCACCAGCGTATCCCGTTAGCGCAGGCAGGATTACTATACCATTTTCACCCATTGAAAACACCATAGTCTTTGAGAATGGGACTGTTAATAATGGGATTTAAGATTCCCATTGCGAGCAATATACTCAAGGTAGTCGATCTCCGCGTGGGTCTCCTTGCTAAACCATTGCGGTTAACGTTTAAATTAGGCACGATGAGTTAACTCACATTCATCAATTCATTCTTCTTGACCTATCATGACTCCCTATTACCGAAGTCCATAAAGCTGGGGGAAAAGGGATTGTTAGTAATGGAGACTGAGAATCCCACTGCTAGCAATATACCCAACCAGGTCGACCTCCTCGCGGTTCCCCCTGAAAACTATCATGGTTAATTCCTGTTGAATTCATCATGATGGGCTAACTGGCCTGTTTTCATTCTCATCTATCACCCTTCACTGGTGCTCCACCAGCATATCCCTTTAGCGCAGGCGGGGTTACCAGGCCATTTTCACCCATCAAAAAAAGACTCTCTGGTACCTCGTCAGTGTATACCAATAACGAAAACGGGGTTACCGTTCCATCTTCAAGTCTTGCCGTGGGATCTGTACTTAGAATGGACTATTCCTTCCTATCCCGTGGGTGTAGTAAGAGGCGACTAAGGGAACCTTATTGATCGAAAGGTGGGCGGCAGCGTCCGTCTTAAAACTTCACCAAAACCTAACTGCGGTTGTCAACGGGCATATAAAGATTGCCCCCCCCCCCTCCCCCCTCTTATGGTGGTGATCTATGTTCAGCAGCGAACTGTTAACGGCTGATATGATGACCATGATGACAGTCTTGAAGAAAGGTGTCGTCATTGTTTGCCATTCTTAACGTGCTTTCATAAAAAAAAAAACATCATGATACGGGATTTTTATATAAAAAAATCAAACAAACAAACTCTTTCACATCCTTCTAACATTCAAACCGAATTCAAATCATTTATTGCTTGAACATGGGTACATACATTGCATTAGCTGCGTTTCGATTCGAAGGGTAGAATTTACAGTGTACAGAGGAATAACACCCGAGTCCTCAGGAATGGCAACGCAAGGGGTATCATGGGCGAAACAGTATACTCTATTATGTCCATGCTACTGCTCATGTTTATAGACGACGGTTACCACTTTCCATCAGGTGGGCCGTCAGCTTGTTTGCCATTCTAAGGGGAAAGCACAAAAGATCCCGATGGGTCGTCGTGCAACGGCTTAGCTGACCCCATACGCGAATAAAAGATAAGCCGTTGGTATAAATTATTTTATTTATAATATTAGTAAATCTAACTCTTTTTCTAATCCACAGATCGTAGACGGCGACGGCGGCGTTAACATAGTCGACGGAAGCGGCGGAATCAACATTGTTGACGGAAGTGGCGGTATCAACATTGTTGACGGAAGTGGCAGTATCAATATTGTTGACGGAAATGGCGGCGTCAACATCGTCGATGGAAATGGCGGACTCAACATAGTCGATGGAAATGGCGGAATCAACGTTGTAGACAACACCCCTAACGAAGGTATCACTGTGATTGACAACAACATCGTCGATGGCGGAATCAACATTGTTGATAATGGCGGAGTCAACATAGTTCCACTAAGCGATGGCGGAGTCAACGTCGCTGAGTAAATCTAGTAAATTCAATCATTTGTTGTATTTTCGTGTTGTAACAATACAGATCTTAAGCATTTATTAGTGGTATCAACATGGATCCTGGATGGGTACAGTAATGATTAATGTACCCTAATAAACGTTTGTTACATACAATTCACAGCTTCATTCCTATACACGCATTTTACGCACCAATCGACACAAAAGAAATACATTTAAATTACCTCATTAATAAATTCCTGCAATGTATAATAACTTTTTACAATTAAATGTATTTTTAAAGCTATTTTTAAACTATTTACAATTATTTTCTATTTTTTTTTAATTTAGTATGGATTTTATTTCAAATTTTAATTGATTTTTGAGAAATTTTAAGTTTTTGCAACATAAAGCTTATGTTCAATTAACCATTAAATTAATTAATGTCAATAAATAAAAATTGTTTAAACTTAATACACAATTTTTTTTTTAATTATATATTAATTTATAATATATATTTACACCATCGTACAATCCGCTATAATATGTATATAATGCTCTATATTAGCAACTCATTTGAACCAATTTCAAAAAAAAAAGTTGCTCATTGGGAAAAGTTGCTTACAGGGAAATAAGGAGTATAAAAATACTTACCGTCTGGAAAATATTTTTACTTATTTCTTTTACTAACTAAGCTGAGTAGAATAAATAGAATATAAAGAATGTTGCTTATAGAGCGTTCATTGCGTGTGCGCGTGTGCGCGTGTGCGCGTGTGTGCGTGTGTGCGTGTGCGTGTGTGCATGTGCGTGTGCGTGTGCGTGCGCGTGTGCGTGTGCGTGTGCGTGTGCGTGTGCGTGTGCGTGTGCGTGTGCGTGTGCGTGTGCGTGTGCGTGTGCGTGTGCGTGTGCGTGTGCGTGTGTGTGTGTGTGTGTGTGTCACAAAACCGAATTCAGTTTTGATAAAAGCAGTTATTTTCATTTAAAAACTACTAAACTACCAAACTAACTTTATTAAAATTTCTTTGGAACCAATATATAAGTATAGGTCATATGAATACCGAATCGATATCTATTTATTGGATTTCTCTGAACATTGATAACGGAAAAAAGGCCATCACCCATTTCAATATCATCCATATCGGTCGGATATCTATTTTCGAACATGTTAAAAGTCTGTTATCCAATATTAATTATTTGATAAGAGACTTTTGACACATTCGTTATTGGACTATATATATATATATATATATATATATATATATATATATAACTGTAGTATATTTAGGTTGACTGGAAGAGATCTCTTTTAGAGATAAGTTCGCCTTTGCTAACATTGTTATTAACTTATTGTTGTTACTGTATGTTTTATTGCAATAAAGAATATATATATATATATTTAAAAATATTTATGCCTAAGGTTGGCAACATTGAAAATGTAAAATGGCTTCTCTCTCGGTCATGACGTCCTACATTATAGTGCATTTTCATTTAAAAGCGGGTTTTTTATTACAAGGAAAATTTATTTAAGCGTTCAAAGCACATTCGATGTTTTACAACATTATAGTAACTAAAATATACGTATTGCTATACATATATTACCTACCTCTAGTAAGTATACAGTTTCGGATAAAAAAAGAACTTTCCAAACAGAAAGAAAAAGAAAATACAACCGTATTGAGAAGCACTTTCGTTTTAAAGTCGCTTGATTATTACGAGTCAGTCAGTCAGACGACAAAGGGTTGGCACGATCAGTGTTCCCGTGAAGTTTCTATAACACATCAGTCATTCAGTTATTGACCGTTTCTTTGTGTAAAAAGTCGGTTTTTTATTTTATTTTTTACACAACTTATAATGGCAAACAAGCTGACGGCCCATCCGATAGAAAGTGGAAACAGTCGCCTATAGACGTGAGCAGTACCATGAACATAACAGAGTATACTGTTTCGCCCATGATACCCCCCATGCGTTGCCATTCCTGAGGACTCGGGTGTTATTTCTCTGTGCCCTGTAAATTCACTGCTATATCCCACCCTTCAAACCGAAACACACAAACAACTGTTTCAAGGTAGAAACTGTTAAGAAGAGATCTTTGTCTTACGATAATAGTGTTCTTCTTTATCTGAGTGTTACCTAACAACTTGTTTAGATAGATAGATAGATAGATAGATACTCTTTATTGTTTCCTCCAAAACATTACAATAGTAAACTTATTATAGATATAAATAATTACAAGAAATGATCACAGTGAGAAAACAATGGGCGACCTTATCGCTAAGAGCCATCTCTTCCAGCCAACCTTTGGATGGAGAGGAGTAATTATAAACAGTTTGGTGGGAGGCACGATGAAAAATTTTGTTAGTTCTAAATATGGGAGATGAGATGTTTAGTTAATGTTCTGTCGAAATAAATATTACTTTCACTACAAATATATGTACTAATATTCTATCTTAAATCTATTACATTTCCTGTTCCCTTCGATTTCTTAAAGGAAACACTGTCTATCATTAGGCATTTATTTATCAATCAATTATTGTCTATTTGTAAAAAAAATTATTCTTATCTGTTGTGCCGTTTAAGCTTGAGTAACCTTATTACTGGATTTACATTTATTTATTTATATGCTTTTTTACATTCATTTTTAATACAGATATTAGGTTAGAGCAAGAATGTACCCAGCGGACTTATCCCTTAAAGGAATTTCTTCAAGTCAACTTTAAGAATCCGAAAGGAGAAAGGATTCATAAGGTTTGAGTATAAAACATCACATATATGGATATATATATATTTATTAAAAAAAATTGCAGTAAGTACAACATTAATTAGCGCCTACAAAAAAGTTATAGCAATATTACAGAACAGTAACTTAGTATTTATTTTGTTGACAGGAACTGAAACTAATATATTTTTTTATACCACAAAGGTAAACAAGTATACATCCCATCTGATGGTAAATAAATCTAAAAAATTTGTAAATTAAAAACACGACTGCGCTGCATAAAAAAACTACTTTAAAAAAAGATACAGCCAGTGTCACTTAGCATGATGTAAGGATTTTAACGATGGGTACCACATAAATCCAAGTCTGTTCAGCTATTTAAAAATTATAGTAATATAAAGAAAATGAAAAAAAAATTTGGCCGTGTATTCCCAGCATAGAATAAGCCACTACTTCCCTTCCCGTGGATGTCGTAAGAGACAACTAAGGAAGTGCCAGAGATGGGCAGTAGCGTCCCTCTTAAAACATCTCTAAAGCCTAACTGCGGTTGCCAATCCGCCAGCCAAGTATGACAACTACTGGCAAAACCCCCCAAGGGGGAGGCTTGTGTTCAGCAGTAAACTTAAAGAAATGTTAAGCCATACATAGTTATAAATGAATGTTTTTAGTTTAAAATATACTCACCAGTAGCTAAAAAACTCCGACAAATCCATGCAGTCGAGGTCTTTTCTTTGTTCGGTGGAAACTTCGTCAACGATCCCGGAGTCCACGTCCTCTTCGGAACTAGAATTAGATCCGTCACTCTCTGTATCCGAACGCGCTTCGCTCATAGCGCAAAACGCGCGAGCCTGTCGTCAATGTTCGATATTCGATTTTTTTTTTATTTATCAACACTTTTTTAATTCGATTCACTTTTTATGAACTTTTTAAATTTCTTTTTTTTTTTATTATAAAGTAAGTAGGTGTTCTTTTTTTAAATTCACTCTTTATAAACTTAGATCACTTTTTTACTTAAAAAAAAAAACAATTTGTTAGCGTTTGGTGTTTTTTATTTTAAATCAATCAATTTATTATACACACTTATTTTCTTATTCACTTTTTGTAAGTTTATTCTTTAAAATTTTTATTTGATAGTATAGGAGTTTTTTTTAAATCTTTATGCATTTAGTCCATTTATTAATAAATATTTTTATTTGATACAGTAGGTGCCATATGCTATTTATATTATTAGTGTTGTGTATAGAAACTCTAAGTATAGGGACACAATTTGTGGGATAATGTGTGGGTAGAAGAAAAAACCTCTGCTTAAATACGTCAGTCTACACGTGACCACGGCCGGGTGAGGTCGAAACGTCGAGATAACTCAGGTAATTTATTGTAGTTTACCTGAATGATTGCGGTACTTCCCGTCTTTTATAAGCTATAAACTAATTAAAGGAACTATGTAATAACGTGTAATAGTGAATGTAGAAATTATTTTATAATTTAAGGCGATTATAAAGTTTATGATTCGTATCTATAACTATCACAATTTTTTGTTTTGAGACAAGAAATACTTTTTTTTTTAATTTATGAAAATGGAATGGTAACCCCGCTTGCGGTATCGGTATACGCTTGCGGGGCACCAGGGATAGATGGATTTTGTTTTAGATGATAATGGAAAGGTCACCCCGCTTGCGCTATCGGTACACACTGGCGAGGCATGATACTCGTAGGTGAGATGGAAGGTAGGCTAGTTAACTCATCGCGACCAATAAACTTGACATTCAGCATGATGGCTCCCAGGGGGATAACGTGGTCGATCTGAAAAAGGAACCCGGTTACGTGGTTATATTGCCACCAATGGTAGTGATTGTGTATTACTAAAAATTGCGAGCGAATCAAGTGTGTGGAGACGTATGAAAGAAATTTTGCATTTTAATATACAAGAAAATATAAAGAACAAAACTATATCGTGTATTACATTTCGCACAACGACATCTAGTGACAAAAATTGGAATCAAAATCACCACGTGAAACCCAGAAACTGAAATTGCACAATAACTGCTTTCAAAATTATTAAAATATTAACGTATAAGCAAAGAACAAAATTCCAAAATCTTTGCGTAAAAGCGACTAGTTCTAGTATTAATTTCTCCACAATAAAAAAGGCGATGGAACTAAACCATACAGCTTGGTCTTCAGGCGATCAGCTAGAGTTTATGGGAAATGAGTAATTGATATATTCAACTAATATTTTATTTAACTGTATATTTGTTTATGTATTAATAGTTGTAGCACTTCAGCTGCCCGCTAACGAAATGCTTTCTCACTGTACTGGGTTGACTGGAAGAGATCTCTGTCAGAGATAAGTCCACGCTTGCTCACAACATTTATAAATACATTATTTTATATGTAACTTACAAGTGCAATAAAGAATATATATACTAATTGTTAAAACGTTTATGTATTTTAAAAGAATGACAATGTCAAAACTTTTCCTGCGCGCGCAACTTCGTATGCGTCCTGTTAATTACTATTTATATTTATAAAAAAATTTAAAAACTTTGAGGTTTATTTACACGGGTATAAGCCGCAGATTAAACAACTAAGAACAAGGAATTACATAGGAGTTATAAAATTGTCAATTCATAGCAGGCTAATGTATAAACCTACCAAATTCAGATACAACCTGCTCGCATACTTTCTACATAAACTGTGTCGAATATATAACTTAGTAATGTAAAATTTGTCATTGACAAATAATTGACATATCGAA